CCAGAAACCAGCTTAATGGAAAGATGAACTGGAACGGCTAAAAATGCTTTCAATGTTGAATAAGTCACTTCGGTCTGAGTAAACTCACCTGTAAGAGGGGTGGGGCCACACCATTCTGATTCAACTAAAATTTAGTGAGTGCCAACTTAAGTGCTATATTCTTTAACATAGATTTTTTCTGGATAATATCATCTATCTCTTAGGGTGGTTGTGAGGAAGAGTAACAATACATGATTCTTACCACTGTGTCTAGCATATATAGTAAGCATGTAATGATCAGCCATTATTTAATCTCTATAATAACCTTGAGGTGAACATTATTTCCTTTGTACAGATGAGAAGTTCACTAAGGGGTAGGATCAGGATCTAAACTTACGTCTGAGGTCAAAGTCCACGATCTTCTCATTATGTGGTTTGGCTTGGCGGGCCCCCTACAGCTATTTAACTGTCAAGAATGAGTGGTAAAGAAACTTGAAAAGACATGCTTGAACCCTAGCAATAACAACATGCACTAGCTAAAGAAGTGGAAGTGTTGTCTCATTTATAATGGATAAAAGATTAGGGAGTTGTTTGAGACAAAGCTACAAAATCTTTGCCCAAGTTCACGTCTTCTCACCATCTCATGCCCGTTAGAGATCCCTGAGACATCATCTTGTCTGTGCACACAAAGAAAATCTGGGCTTCTTCAGGAGCCAAACTGCTTGAAACATAGTCCTTAGCAGAGGATTTGGTCACTGCAGGGAGAGTGAGAAGAGACATTTAGGTCTCTGGGAAAGGGAGCTGAACTGGATCAATCACCTCCTGTGCTCACGGACACTGTCCCCCCTTCTTATGAGTACGTGATCATAAACCATGTACTAGGGTTTACGATGGTGAGCAAGACAGGTGTGGAGGAAGTTGGGCAAGAATGATACTATGGTAGGAGAACAATGGGGAGCAATATTGGATCCTGGGTAAGCAGAGAGAACTTAGGTTACCCCTGGTGGGAGAAATCAGGGAGGGCTTCTTGGAGGAGGTCTCTGAGTAGCCCTCCTGGTAGTAGATTTACCAGATCTAGACAGAAAATGGGGCCCTGAAGATGGTGGGCTCAAGCCTGTAATCCAAGCACTTTAGGAGACCAAGGCAGGAGGATTACTTGAGTCCAGCCCAGGCAACAGAGCAAGTCTCCACAAAAAACACAAAAAGTAGCTGGGTGTGGTGACATGTGCCTGTAGTCCCAGCTACTTGGGAGGGTGAGGTGGAAGGATCACCTGGGCCCAGCTGGTGGAAGCTGCAGTGAACTGGGATTGTGCCATTGCTCTCCAGTCTTGGGCAAAAGAGACCCTGACTCAAAAAGGGGGGGGGTCGGAGTCAAAAGAGGAGAGTACTTCAGGCAGAGGGAACATTATGTGCAAAGGCTAGGTGACAGAAACCTGGGTCTTTGAGGTGAAAGCAGTTCTGAGTGTGAGGCTGGAGAGGTGAGCAGCAGCTATAAGCCCTGGTAGCCATGTACACATAAAGCATTTGGGCTTTATTCAGCAACAAGAAAGCACAGAAAGCTTTTAAGTAGGACACTAGCATGATTTGCATCTGAGAAAGATAAATTTGGAGAATGAATTAGATGGGCCAAGTCTGGAAGCAGTGAAGAGCTTCCGCTGAGGGCATCGAGCAGTGGGCAAGGGCAGGGTGGATGCACTGGAGAGATACTTGAGAGGCCAAGCATTGAGTCAAGGGGAATCCTGGGTTTCTGGTGTGGACAACCAGATGGAGAGCTTGGCATTAGCCCAAAGTAGAAGAGGATGATTAGAGTGTGCTTGGATACATTGTTAAGCACTTGTAAGGTAATCCAAATGGGGGCACCAGTGAGCAGTTGGATGTGCACATCAGGAGCTCAGAGGAAAGAAGGCTATGAGAGGGATGTGGACTTCGAAGTCATCAGCACAAAGGTGGTGAATGAAAGCATGGGATGGATAAGGTTGTTTGGAGAATGTACAAATTAAGTTGGGATTAAGTAATCCCAGCACTTTGGGAGGCTGAGACAGGAAGATTGCTTGAGCCCAGGAGTTTTTTTTTTTTTTTTGAGTTGGAGTCTCACTCTGTCGCCCAGACTGGAGTGCAGTGGCCACTTCCAGCCACCGCAGCCTTGACCTGCCGGGCTCCGGTGATCCTTCCACCTCAGCTTTCCGAGTAGCCGGAATTACAGGCATGCGCTACCACGCCCAGGTGATTTTTTGATTTATTGTAGAGATGAGGTCTCGCTGCCCAGGCGGGTCTCGAACCCGCGGGCTCAGGCAATCCACTCACCTCAGCCTCCCAAAGGCGTGGGATTACAGGCTGAGCCACCAAGCCCGGCTAGAGCCCAGGAGTTTGAGACCAGCCTGGGCAACATAATGAGACCTTAGTCTATACAAAAATTAAAAAAAAAAAAAAAAAAACTGGGCGTGGTGGTGTGTGCCTGTGGTCCTAGCTATCAGGAAGCTGAGGCAGGACTGCCTGAGACCAGGAGGTAGAGGCTGTGGTGAGCCACGATTGTGTCACTGCCAATACAGCCTGGGAGACACAGTAAAACCCTGACTCCAAAAAAAAAAAAAAAAAAAATAGACCAAAGACCAAATTATTTCTGAAGAAGTGTAGCAGCAGTTAAAGAGCAGAGGAAGTGGAACCTTCCAAAGAATCCTGCACAAACAGAAATTCTAATATAGACAAATACTATCAATTTGTTGAATGAAAGCAAAGTTAGAGACAGGAGAACAATTAGAGCATGTCATAGATAAAAGGCAGGAGTCAGCAGAGTCATTTACTTGCAGACCGGTAGGAGAAAGACTGTATTCTAGGTTTAAATCCAATTTTGGAAACCAAATCATTTATTACTTCCACCTGGTTTCAATGTTGTGCACCCCACTTGCCTTCAACTCTGAAACAGTATGCCAATGACATCATCTGGGAGTAACTACTACAATTCTCCCTTGTTTCTTCTATTGATTATGTCAACTCTAGCTCCTATCCTGTCTTCATATATGACCTTATTCCACTGCTCTATTTCATTCTAGATCTCCTTGCTCCTTGATCAGTTCTCAGTGCATTTCCCAGGACATCTGGGAAAACAATCTATCAGGAGAGCAGATACAGTCTCATCATAATCTGGTACATGTGCCATTTTACTGGATAGCTTGTTTAAAGCTAGCACTATCCCAATATTTAAATTTTGAATTGCCCTGCCTAACAGGAACTAGTGATAATTGCTCCCTGAAGTTCAATCTATTATTTTGGAAGGAATGTAATAACTTTGGCAGGAGGCCAGCGAATGCACCACCCCTCCCAGACTACTCAATTTTGTGCAGTGACATCATTGAAAGACTTCTGTTTTTTAAATATTTCATATATTAAGGGAAATGTAAGACATAACTGTCTGAAATGCAAGCAACGTTAAGAGCTTACACAGGAAGGACATAGCTAATGAGAGGCTAGGAAATGAGATAATCTCTTTTATAGAATCATTTGATATTGAGGAAACAAGGAATTTACAAAGGAGAGGATACAATGAAATTAACCAAGGAGTAGAGCCATCCTTTGGGATCAGTAACCTTTAGACTTGATAGTCCCAGCTACTGGGAAAATTGAGGCAAAAAGATTGCCTGAGCCCAGGAGGTCAAGGCTGTGATAAGCCATGACTGTGCCACTGCACCCTATCCGGGCGACAAGGCTGTAGTGACGAATGTATCAGGGTTGATCTATCCAGGAGTTTGTTTCCTCTGAGAATAGCTTTTTTTTTCAGACTCAGAAGATTTATATCCTAAATCAAGAAGAGAAAAAATTAAGTTAGGAGTGAAGTGTCATTTATGTCTACTTTTGGAAACTGCCTACTTTTCTATACATGATTGAAGATGAGATCACAAAACAACACAAACCCCCTCAAATATAGCTCTTACTCATTCCCCTGTCCCAGTAAGTCAGAAAGGTTTCATTTCATATGCCAGAACATGAGGAGATGGAGGTTGACAGAGTGTCAACCCTGCCTGCTTACTCTAAAAATCCAGTATCCAAGAAAGGCGTGATAATCTAGAAATCAAAATTGTATGTCAAAGCTCATTACACCGTACTTCAAACTTCTGCATGTCACTGCTTTTAAATTATACTTCAATTTTTGAAGAAAAAAAAAAAGAACCAATGGCTAAGGAGAAAAGGAAAAAAGGTACATTATCAGATCCTATGGTTAAATGAAACTAAATTTCTATCTATTGTCCTTAATAGGGTCAAAAGCAGGAAGCAATAAGCAAAAGTTGTTTTAAAAAAATGTTTCTGAGCTCCCTAAACATTCATTTCCCTTGGATCATTAAAGGGACTTCAGTAAGTTGCTGGCTGTGGTGGCTCATGTCTGGGGTAGCATTTTGAGAGGCTTAAGTGGGAGGATCACTTGAGTTCAGGAGTTTGAGAACAGCCTGGGCAACACAGTGAGACATTATCTCTACAAAAAAAAAAAAAAAAAAAATTAGCTGAGTGTGGTGGCACTTGCTTGTAGTCCCAGTTGAGGTAGGAGGATTACTTGAGCCCAGAAGTTGGAGACTACGGTAAGCCATGGTTATGCACTGCACTCCAGCTTGGGCAACAGAGTGAGACCCTGACTCAAAAAAAAAAAAAGAAAAAAGAAAAGAACTTTAGTAAGTGATGATACCCTATCCTCTATTCCATTAAAAAAAAAAAAATCCACTACAATTAAGGAGGCTGAGGCGGGAGGATTGCTTGAGCCCAGGAATTCGAGACCAGCCTGGGCAGCAGTGAGACCTTGCCTTAAACAACAACAACAAAACCACAGAGAATTCTTGGTGTGATGAGCAAGGTCTGACTTTTTTCCTTATTATTTTTAATGTTCTATAATTCAAGAATAGCTTAACTGTTTCACCAATATGAAAGTTATACATACTCATCCTAGCAAATCAAGGATTTAGCTCTTTGGATTTAGGGATTTTTTGGTAGGGAGAAGATTAGATACATTTCTTAAAAACCCAGGCTGAAAAATAAAAGTCCTGTCTATCTTGAGATTTTAATATATTTATTTGAAAACCAAGTTCTGTGAAAGAACACACTAAATAGTCATATATCTTCTCTTCAACCAAAGATGTGGAGACAAGATTCTTCAGATCAGCACAGAGGCAATGATACATGCATTGAATAGCAGGTTTCAGCATGAATTTCCTCATAGGCATTTCCATTACAAGCCTGGACAATCTTCTTCAGATGAGCAAATGAAATCCTGGGGAAGGGAAGAGGGGATGGTAGTAGAAGCTAGGGTTAGACTTAATTTCACAAACATTCTTTTATTTTTTACTCCTAGCTGTTGAAATCTAAAACTAGGCCAAAGCCCTGCTTCTGCAGTCCTAAATGCTAGTTTATACTAACACAGACTATGTTTTTCAAATTCCCAAAGAACTGAATAGTTTATCCTTTAAGAAACGATAAACCTCTAAGTCATTTTGTAGTTAACTGCCTTGAAAGTTGTAATCAGGGGTTTTCTATAAGATATTCTGAAAGATGAAGGGGGCTAATGTGAGTCCTCTCATTTCTTCAACAGAGACTAAGTGATCAAGATGATTATCTAGCAGTTATGTGCCGATTGGGGAAAGTTTAGGAAACCATCAAGGCTGAAAGATAATTTTCAGAAGTAAGTGTAAATAACAGCAAAATTAGTATAAATCTTCCTTTCTCTAAGATCCAAACTAATAGTCTCCCTGAGACATGAAAAGATTTTCCTACTAATGGCAGGGTTTTTCCTTAATACTTATTTGAGATTTCTGTAAAACTTTCATTAATTGCTAGTCAATGTGTAAAACTCACCATGATAGATTTGCAACTAGACTTTTAAATGTATCAAGTAATACCGCCTTTATTTTCTTAAAGAGTAGAATAAAATAACAATCATCTGAAAATGTGTTTGTGCTAGGGTGGAATCAGGATATCTTGACTATACAATTCATATGTCTTCAAATAAGTGATGACCTGGATTGCCTGAGCCCGCCGGTTCGAGACCCACCTGGGCAACTTGGGGAGACCTCATCTCTGCAATAAAAATAAAAAAAATTAGCCAGGCATGGTAGCGCCTGCCTGTAGTTCCAGCTACTTGGAAGGCTGAGGCGGAAGGATCGCCGGAGCCCAGCAGGTCGAGGCTGCGGTGGCCGGGAGCGGCCACTGCACTCCAGTCTGGGCAACAGAGTGAGACTCCAACTCAAAAAACAAAAATCAAAAAAAAAAACCAAATATGTGATGACCATTCAAAAGAAATAGGGAAACTAAGAATGACAATTTCATAAAATTAGATTATTTCAATCTTTCCCATCTACACACCACCTTCAACACTGTTAGAACACTGGCATAGTAATAAACTTTTTCAACTGGCCAAAGCTTTGTGGTGTAGTCTAATTGACCCCCATAAGCACCATGCCTTATACACACTAGATGTTCAATAGTGCCACTGAATAAATGAACATTAAGGCTTCTACGGTCAAAAGTATTGTCAAAGGAGACAGAGAGAGAGAAAAATCAGTGAGAAATTTATTCCTGTGCTGCTCAAAAGTATGATTTATGGACCAGTGCCAGTCTACAAGTATAACCGATTCATAAGAAGCAGCTTATATCAGAATGTAAATCAACTATATCACCAAGCAAACTGCATTTCACTTGACTTTTTTGGGGAAGTCTTTATTGATAAAAGAAACACTGAGTAGATTTACATTCTGAAGCAAGCTTCCTATTTCCTTACGGACCTATAAAAACAATTTGCAGACCAGTCACTTTGAATAGCATTATAGTACTAGAACATAGGGTCAAAGAAGAAAAAGGAATTTGTGGTTATGTATGCAGAAAGAGGTAAAAAAGGTGGAAGTTTAGGTAAATATGGATTAAGCACAAAAGGAGGGGAAAAAGTGAGATGATGTCCTTGCAAAAAACATTTGTAAGAATTGACAAAGAGGTTTCTGTTTATAATTTTGTTGTACATGCACCTGTGGTCCTTAATCATCAATATATTCAAATGGTTCTGGGGGTTCTGGTTCTTGTTCCTCCTCCTCAATTTTTGGGCCGTGTGCTGCCACAGGTTCCACTAGCTCTTCAATGTCTTCGCTGGTGTCCTTCAGAATGATGATGCCTCCAATGGAGAGCTGTAAACAGAGAGAGGAGTGAAGAAGCACAAGCTCCACTGATACTTCAAGCCTGCTCCACAATTTAGAGTGCATGCTTATTAGATGGCACCCTAGAACTACTTAAATGCCGTGGAAGTAAAAAACTGAGGTAGAAACAACTCTACAAGGTTAAAAACAATTACATCCATAAGAATTATTTGCAAACTTAACCCAGTGGCTCTGGAGGGTATAACATGTGATGCTGTTCTAGTTGACTGATGCATTCCAATTTAAGAAGAGTATTTCCCAGCCAAGGACCTGAGTACTAGCCTCAGTCTGACTGCAGAGAGAATGTTTACTGTCCAAATATAGTATTCTAATTCTCTCCTACTCAATATGTGGTCTGGGCCAGTAGCATCATTATTACCTGGGGGCTTGTTAAAAATGCAGAAAAACTGTCTCCACCCTAGATCTATAGAATCTGCACTTTAACAAGATCCCCAGTCTATCCGTAGAATATTAGAAGACCGTTATTTTGGACACAAGACAGTCTCTAAATGAAAAGCCAGTTTTTCTCCAGCAATTTGGAATAATGGTAGAATAACACATATTCCAGACATCTGAGTGTTTTTCACTTTAATCTATAAATCCTTGTGATGCAAGCCAATGAAAAAATAGATGGGAAACATAAGAGAAGTAGACTGTAGCAGCAATTCTATTAAGCCCTCTCCCAAGCATATTAGCAGAAGGTAAATTCAAACACCAAACTATTCACCCATCTCTCGTGTGCTAATCTTATTCTATTTGCTTGCTTGTGTCAAAGGAAATGGAAAGCTGCTCTCTGTAATTAAATCAGTCAACAGTGGCAGGGCACATCTGGAAAAAGCATATTTCTACCAAAGCACATTACTGGGAAAGGAAAAAAGCACAAGTACATTAGTCCAATGATTCACATATGTATAAGTATCTCTGCAGCTCAACCTAATCAAATTTTTACTCATCAGAACTCTGCCCTGTTACACTATAAAACTGGTGTGCCTTCATGAATTCCAAACTATTTCCCTGCTCCCAAAATACACATATCCATACATTTATCTATAATCTTTTCCCTAAAAAAAGCTACTTTTCTTGAAGGGGATGAATTTTATGAATGGACCTTGCCTTTACTACCAATACTCATCACAAGAACAATCAGAGCATATGGTCACTGTCTTTTTTTTTTTGAGTTGGAGTCTCACTCCATCGCCCAGACTGGAGTGCAGTGGCACGCACCTGGCCACCGCAGCCTGCAGGGCTCTGGCGATCCTTCTGCCTCAGCCTTCCAAGTAGCTGGAACTACAGGTGCATGCTACCACTCCCGGCTAATTTTTGATTTATTGTAGAGATGAAGTCTATGCCAAGTTGGCCAGGCGGGTCTCGAAACCGCAGGCTCAGGCAATTCACTCACCTCGGCCTCCCAAAGCGCGGAATTACAGGCTGAGTCACCGAACCCGGCCGGTCACTGTCTTAATCCTTCAAGGCCTAAAAGTTTACTTGAAATTCCTAATGATGAAGGTCAAATCTCTTCAAGTTTATATTACGTGGGGTTTTCTGTATATTTTAATTTAATTTTGTAATGTAAAATATATCATAGGTAGAAAAAAATATTAGTCATATGTAAATATTTCAGAGAATAATAAAATGCAGAAACCCTCCCACTCAGAACCTGATTAATCCTCAGAAACCAAGAAGCTCTCTGTGTGGTCTTCCTAATCATTTCATCATTCTCATGTTCCGAGATACTGTGCTAATAATTTTCATGTTTTTGTTTACAGTGTTACCATCCATGTATATATCATTTAACTTTAATGACTTGTTGTATTTAATAAATTGCTGTGTGTTAAAAAAAAAAAAAAGAAATAGAAACTCCTAATGAACCAAATGGAGATGAATGTTTATTAAGCAGAAGAAAATACTCATGTTCATAAGAGGGCTTCCTATTTTTTTGAAACAGGTGGCTCCAGGTTATGACTACTATTTCAAGCTTAGCTGGAATGAAATAATCCAACTCAAATCCTGCAATATAATCAACATATGGAAAGAGCTGTTTATAACGACACATGATTTAGGTTTATTAACACTTTATATGTTGACGAGAAAGTTCATCCTCTAAGCAGTAAGATACACGATCTCCTGTTTTCTGGGAAGGCTAATGACAACTGAAGATACAGGCAATGAAACACTTTCTACTGCCAAGTGCTCCACTCTTGCTTTAAGGTGGACAGGAAGCAGAGAAGCAATGCTACCTATTTTCAAAACTACAGCTGCCTCTTTCAAATGCAGTGACTGAGAAAGGGTTTGATTACCCTGCCATCCCTCTCTTCACTGCACATACACAGAAGTAGTCTTTTCTTTTTATAACTGAGATATCACTCACATAACAATAAATTCATTCTTTTGTGTACAATTTAGAACATTCACAAACTAGTGCAACTACTTCCACTAATTCAAAAACATCTTAAAAAAACCTGTACCCATCAGCAGCCATTCTCCATTCTTCCTCCCTCTCCCCTGGAAACCACTAACTTAACTTTTGTCTCTACAGATTTGTCTATTCTGGACATTTCAAATAAAGTGAATCATACACCATGTGGCCTTTTAAGTCTGGCTTCTTTCACTTAACATGTTTTCAAGGTTCACGTTTACTATATCAGTAAGTCCTTCCCTTTTGTGGCTGAATAATATTCCATTGCATATATTACATTGTTTATGCATCAGCTGAGAGACATTTGAGTTGTCTCCACTTTGTGGCTATTATGAATAATGCTGATGTGAACATTAGTGTGCAAATTTTTGTATGAATATAGTTTTCATTTCTCTCAGATACATACCTAGAACAGAATTGCTGGGTCATATGGTAAGTAAAATGTGTCTTAGCACAGTGGTTGTAACAGTTTACATTCCCACCAGTACTCAGTTGTGACCACAGAATATGTATGGTTTTAACTCCTTTAAATTTATTGAGATGTGTTTTATGACCTAATATATGATCTATCCTAGAGGATTTTTTATTTGTTTTTGTTTTTAAATTTTAAAGATGGGGAGTATAATTCAGGATTAGGGTACATAAGTGATCTTTGTACAGGTAAAGTTTGGGTCTCCTTTTGTCTTTTTTTTTGAGTTGGAGTCTCACTTTGTCACCCAGGCTGGAGTGCAGTGGCACACTCATGGCCACCCCAGCGTTGACCTTCTGGGCTCCAGCGATCCTTCCACCTCAGTCTTCCAAATAGCTGGAACTACAGGCATGCGCTACCACGTCCAGCTAATTTTTCATTTTATTGTAGAGACAAGTTCTCGTCAAGTTACCTGGGTTGGTCTTGAAGCCACGGGCTCAAGCAATCCACTCACCTTGGCCTCCCAAAGTGCTGGGATTACAGGCTGAGCCGCGGAGTCCGGCCTTTTTTTTTCCTAATTAAATTTAAAGCCCACAGCTAACATCATATATCTTGCAGAATGTTCTATGTGTACATGAGAAGAAGGTATCCTCTGCTATTGTTAGATGGATTGCTCTACAAATGTTTTAGGTCTAGTTGGCTTATAAAGTTATTAGATCTATTTCCTTGTTGGTCTTCTATCTAGTTGTTCTACCCATTATTGAAAGTGGGGTACTGAAGTCTCCAGCTATTACTGTTTAATTGTTTATGTCCCATTTCAATTCTGTCAGTTTTTGCTTCACATATTTGGGGCTCTGTTGTTAGGTGCATATGCTTATAATAATTATATTTTTCTGTTGATCAACTCCTTTATCATTAATCAAATATTCCTCTCTGTTTCTAGCAATAATTTTTGTCTAAAGTCTATTATGTCTGCTATTTTGTATATAGCTAGCTGCTCTAGCTCTCTATTTTATTTTTTTTAGAGACAGGGTTTCACTCTGCTACTAAAGCAAAAATTCCTGGGTTCAAATGATCCTCCTGCTTCAGCCTGGGCAGGAGGCTGAGACTATGGGCACAAGCCACCATGTCTGGCTAATTAAAAAAATAAATTTTTTTTTTAAAGACAGGGTCTTGCTATGTTTCCTAAGTTGGTACTCAACTCCTGGTCTCAAGTAATCCTCCTGTCTTAGTCTCCCAAAGTGCTGAGGTTACATATAAGCCACTGTCCCTGGCTCTCTAGCTCTCTTTTGATTATTATTAACACAGCGTATCTTTTGTTTTCTATTTGTGCCTTTGAATTTGAAGCATATCAATTCTAGATAGCACATGGTTCGAGCATTTAAAAAAAATCAGTTTGGGCCAGGCATGGTGGCTCACACCTGTAATTGGGAGGCTGAGGTAGAAGGATTGCTTGAGTCCAGGAGTTTGAGATCAGCTTAGGCAACACAGGGAGACCTCATCTCTTAAAAA